CTCACATCTCTCTCTGATCCAGCTATTGTAGAAGCCTTCCTCTCCTACATTCAGAGCACCGTCGTGGTTATGTTAGCTCTACCTGTATAATCTTGGCCTTAAAGGCCAGCTCATTACCAGTCTTAGTCTATTTGCTATTTTATTCTCCCCCTTTACTATAAAAATAACATATTCAAAGTTTCCAGTGGTTAGAATGTGGACAGCTCAGGAGGCTCTCATTCTTCCTGCTAGAAAGTCTTTTCCAAAAGTGTTTTTATTGGGTGTCGCTCAAGGGCTCTTATATAAAAGAAACAAACACAGAATTTATCACAGGCCCTCGAATGACTGGATACACTTGTCATTCAAAATTTTATGCAAACACAATTTACTTTGTGGAGAAGACCCCCAACCCCCTGCACCTTGCTCTATCACAGCCTTGCTACTCAAAAAATGGTCCATGGACCAGGACCTGTGGCATCAAGATCACTCAGGAGCTTGTTAGACATGCCATATCCCGGGCCCACCAGCACCTGCAAAATCAGAATCTGCATTTAAGCTAGAACCGTAGGTGATTCATGTGCATCTTGAAGTTGGAGAAGTGCTGGTCTAGAGTAAGTTTTCTCACATTTTCAATTTGGCCTTTGAGTCAGAGGATGATAATTTGTGTTGGAAGCTTTCCAGCTCGTCGAAGGTGTTTAGCAGCATCCCTCAGACATTGCCAGATAGGTCCAGGGGAAAGATCCACCTCTGGGTGGGAACCATGGGCACAGAGTTTGAAAATTAGAGCATCCTGACAGAATCCAACCAATACCAACCCCTTTCAGCAACCATAACCTTGAGAAAATCATTAAATTCGTCAAGCCCCATGTCTCCATGGGGAATGGAGTTCACAATAGTACTTCCTGACAGAATGGACTTTTATAAAAATCAAATCAGGCAATTTCTAGAAGCTGCCAAACTTGGATTGTTGTGCCTAAAAATCTAAATATATCTCTTCCAATAAACAAACATCTTATAATGGCATTTTAAGTACTGGTTCTGAACTTGTGCTATAATGGTGAAATCCCTAAATTGCTTTGGCAAAACTGTCCTGAGGCCCACGAGTGTAGTGCTTCAGGTTTTATATCAAAGGAACAAACTTCACATTTCTGTTGAAAAGGGAAAAGTTACTTTCTAGAGATATCAGGGGCTTTGTCTCCACCACAATCAATGCTTTGAAGAATCCAAGGGACCTAGTTAAGACCGATTTCTCAGTATTCATTGGAATAAAATGTTCACTCTGAATAGGGATAAGGTGCTGAAAGTTTAAATCTCTGAAAGCCAGAAGTGACAGAAAAGGAGTAAGGAAAACGGCTTCAGATGGCTTATCACCCAGTCTCCTAGGAACAGAAATTCTACAAAAAAAAAAAATTCCCTTCTGTCCACACTAGTGTTCCTCAGGGAAGTCAAGTGGGAGAGGTGGGAGAAACAACAGTGAAATGTGTCTAATGAGCAGACTTAAGAGGCTGTAAGTACCTCCTCTGCTGCAGCTCCACAGTGTGTGAAACCTCAGGCTGGACAGCCAAAGGCATGGTCATTTCCTTTGCAGTCCTAAGTGTGGATGGGGACTGAAGTTTGACCCATCCCTGCTCTCTTGTCTGGGGACAGAGCTTCATCCTCCACCATCCAACGAGGTAGGAATTTTGAGTTTCATGTAGAGACCTTGCTCTCAGAGACATCCCCCCCTCCCAAGTTTTACAGCCCAGTAAGTACCGCAGGAGAAGGTCAAGAGAATAAAAGTCAAAAACCTTTACCTGAGGTCACCTGAGAGCCAATCTAGCCTAGCCAGAGCTGAGAGATTGCTGCAGTTGTTTGCCGACTTGATTAATAAGTTGAATGATAAATGATTGATTGATGTATTTATGATGCTCTAAATAGAAGTAAATATGGAACTCAGAACTGCAAGGTTCAACATTAAAAACTAAATGATAATAATGGAGACACACTTAGACCGGGCATGGGAAATATAAAAGTAGAGCCTGAGATCAAGGATCTTTGTAATTACCAGAGTAGAAAAGCCAACTATTGGGGCACCTGGGTGGCTCAGTCGGTTGGGCATCCGACTTCGGCTCAGGTCATGATCTCACGGTTCGTGGGTTCGAGCCCCGCATCGGGCTCTGTGCTGACAGCTAGCCCAGAGCCTAGAGATTGCCTCAGATTCTGTGTCTCCTCTCTCACTCTCCCCTGCTCATGCTGTCTCTCTCTCTCTCTCTCTCTCTCTCTCTCTCTCTGAAATAAATAAAAAGATTTAAAAAAAAAAAAAAGAAAAGAAAAACCAAGTATTAGCTGTGTAGGGATATACATTGAAGTGAGGACATGCCTTTTCCTTTTTACGATAGGACATATTATATTATATTTCCTCACTGATGAGAAAAATCCAGATGAAAGAATTCTCCCAGGTACATCCTTGCAAAAGCAGTAGGTGAAACATGCATATCACAGCACTTTCTCTCTCTTGATTATTCAAATGAAATTTTTTAGGGGCACCTGACAGTGTGTAAATTTTGTGCGGTAGTCTGTGACTTAGTCATAATACACTCTGTCCCCCAGGGTTTTTTTATTTGTATGTATGTATGTATTTATTTATTTGCTGAAAGAATTGATCTCTCACAAGACCTGCTTTCCACAAAATGACAGTAAATGTCCTTCTACATACTTATGTATGTAGAGCTACATACATATTTAGAGCATCTTAAATCTCCCTTTCTACACATTTCCAACTAGCTTTCACATCTCTGTATTCCTTACTTGTTCTTTTTGGCCCTTTATTATTGGATCTATTTCTAAAATGGAAATTCTATCACTTGGAAGATATTCTTTTTTACATATGCTGAATCACCTTTACCATACATAAACATGATTCATCCATATATCTTTATGTGAGATAAAATTAAAACTTTAGATATTGCTTTCTGTCTGCATGAAAAGACTTTTTCATATTCTTTTATTCTCGAGTCCTTGGAAATCTAATTTAGATCATTAAATTATTATTCTTTTAAATCTTTTTGTTCAGAAGTTGGTTTAGGGCTTTCCTTCAATTTTGTTTCATGCAGCAGTTTTGAGCCATTCTGCTTAACCTAAGTGCATTTTCACTGTTTCTCTTTCTTTCAAAAGTGTTCATTTCTTGTAAAAATTTTCTATGTTATGCACACATAGACATTCACATACTTTTGATTCGAATGTATAAAAAGAAACTTATGCATGTAGTAAGTATTCTTTAAGTTCAAGCACAACTCTTTTCTTAGCTTTTCTCCCCAAGTCCTTTTGACATAGTAGTACCATACACACATCCCTCTAGCGAACTAGTGTAATGCTGATTCATTCTTTTTTAAAGATTTTCTTTTTTTTAAAATAGTTTATTGTCAAGTTGGTTTCCATATAACACCCAGTGCTCATCCCCACAAATAACCTCTACACCCAATGTGGGGCTTGAACTCACAACCCCACGATCAAAATGTTCACTTTTTGCTGACTGAGCCAGCCAGGTGCCCCCGATTCATTATTTCAATACCTATATGACTGTGCCATTTACCTCTTTCATATTTTTTCTCATTATATTACTATTATATCAATGCTACAAAATATTTTTAAATAAATAAACTATGTTTCTCAACCAAAGGTGATTTTGTCCCCCTGGGGAAAATGAGCAATGTTCAAAGACATTTTGGGTTCTCACACTGGGGAGGGGTGCATGGAGGCCAGGGATGTTCTAAACATCCTAAAATGCCCATGACGCTCCTCACCACAGAGAAGGATGTGGCCCAGAATGTCCATATCGCAGAGACTGAGAAATCCTGAGTTAAAGAATATGTGTATTTTTTAAGATACTATTCTTTTTTAAATAATCTCTACACCCAACATGGGACTTGAGCTTACAACCCCAAGCCCAAGACTTTTCAGCTCCACTAACTGATCCCGCCAGATGCCCTAAGAATACCTTTTTTTTTAATATTTATAAATGTCTTCACAGTCTCCCGAAATGTTATAACACGTCACAAGCCTGACAGCAAAATTAGAAAGTGCCTCTTTGCTACCTGTTAAAAATTCCAACCTCATTCAATGTGACAGCCCTTGAAGTGTTTTCTCAGGATATTGGGTGTGATGCTAAGAAGAGCTCTTCAACCAACAGGACACTACAGTAACCAGATTAGTAAAGTGCAAGAGGTACATAGTGTGGACGGGGAACTCTCTGTGTCTTGAACTTTAAGCAGCTGTGAGGCCACATATTTCTATGAAATTCACAACCATTGCCTCTTGTGTCCATTTCCCTCAACACACTGGCTTCCTTCTGAGCCTTAATTTTCAGGGGGGATAAAAAGTACTTCCTGAGGGCCTTTGCACTGGCTGGACCCTCTATCAATTTCCAGGAAGTCTTCTTTCTTCCTTCAAGTCTCTGTTTAAATATCACCTTCTTAGGCAATCTTGACTGAACACTCAACATAACATTCCATCCACTTCCACTCTCTTTTTACCTGCCTTCATTTTCTTGATTGCCTCTGTTCCTATTTCAGGATTATTTCATATATATATATCCAGTCACCATCATTTAATTGTAGGTACTTTTGCTCATCAACAGCCTCTATTTTATGACTTGGAAATGCTGAAAACATGATCGACACTCTATATTTCTCAAATGGATGAAACAATTTCTTATTAACTCTATGATACCTGGTATTTGGGGGAACAACTGATGTTGGGATGACAATTTCTAATCAGAGAGGAAACAGTGATCCCCTGAAGGGGCCCAGATCCATTCACAAAATATTGAAATTACTTTATTGACTGTAAATATAAATAGTTGCATTTGAACAATGTGCGCCACGCCCATTTATGTGAAATTTTGTCATTTTATTTTTCCCTTTACTGGTAGTCACCTCCACTACATGGACTCAGGAAATGATACAGGAATTTCAGAATTTCTTCTTATGGGATTTTCAGAGGAACCAGAACTGCAGCCCCTCATATTTGGGCTTTTCCTCTCCATGTACCTGATCACTGTGTTAGGGAACTTGCTCATCATCCTGGCCATCAGCTCTGTCTCCCACCTCCACACACCCATGTACTTCTTCCTCTCCAACCTGTCCTTTGTGGACATCTGCTTCACCTCCACTACCGTCCCAAAGATGCTGTGGAACATCCAGACTCAGAGAAAAGTCATAACCTATGAGGACTGCATCACACAGATGTACTTTTTCATACTCTTTGCAGGATTAGACATGTTTCTCTTGACTGTGATGGCTTATGACCGCTTTGTGGCCATCTGTCACCCCCTGCACTACACAGTCATCATGAACCCTCGGCTCTGTGGGCTGTTGGTTCTGGTGTCCTGGGTCCTGAGTGCCCTGCATTCCTTGTTAGAAAGCTTAATGGTGTTGCAACTGTCCTTCTGTACAGTCTTGGAAATCCCCCAATTTTTCTGTGAACTCAATCAGATGATCCAACTCGCCTGTTCTGACACCTTTCTCAGTAATATGGTGGTATATTTTGGAGCTACGTTGTTGGGTGGTGGTCCCTTCATTGGAATCCTTTACTCTTACTTTAAGATAGTTTCCTCCATACGTGGGATCTCATCAGCTCAGGGTAAATATAAAGCATTCTCTACCTGTGCATCTCACCTCTCAGTGGTCTCTTTATTTTGTTGTACGAGCATAGGAGTGTACCTTAGCTCTGCCGCTACCCAGAGCTCTAGCTCAAGTGCAATAGCCTCAGTGATGTACACGGTGGTCACGCCCATGCTGAACCCCTTCATCTACAGCCTGAGGAACAAAGACATAAAAGAGGCTCTGACAAGATTCTCTGGGATGGTAGCTACAAAAAGGCTAATTCTTCCTGGGCTGAAGAAGTGTCCATAATTTCAGGACCCAGAGCCTGAGCCAAATGTTGAGATTCTTTGATCAGACTGTGGAAGCAGAACATGCCTCTTCTTTTTTTTTTTTCCTGGAAGTTTGTTTTGTTTTGTTCGAATCTCTCTGTACAATTTATGTATGTTCTATCAAGCTTTGTGATATCTCTGATATCCAAGAGATTTCCCTTTTTCATTTTCCTACTCTCCCAATGTTATTCTTCCCATTGGCTGTGAAATATTTGTTAATTCTCACTTATTTTAAAGAACCACATGGATCAGTTAATAATAATTTCTTCTCAAATCTAATATATGATAGTGACTTTTTTCTTTTGTTTGAATAAAAAACCTTAGTCATGTGTTGTACTATGCCAATGGAAAGTTTACTCTTGGCCACCACAGCTGTTTATATAAGTTCATAAGAGAGAAAGATCTGAGATCACTCTGCTTCACTCTTGTGAACATCATTCCCTTGTATATCACTACCTTAACTGCTCTTCCTGATAATGTAGACTTTGAACCACTGGTTGCTATAGCGGATCATAGGGACTTTTCTACACATTAAGATCCTGTTCTGCTACACAGCTGCATCCACCATGCTTACCGTAGTCACTGGCAAAAAAAAAAAAAAAATTTATAATACTATACACGTTTCCAAAAAGATCTCCACAGAAAGACAAACATGGGGGGAAAAAGATTGATATATCATGGCCTTAGAGTCAAGCTTGACTTTAAGTATAAGAAAGAAAAATATTAAATCACACATTTATTGCTATGCAAAATATTTCTTTCTCAGGCACTTCACCTACTCATTGAATTATAGGATATCAGGATCCATGTGTAAGGTGTATTCATTAAGATGAAAGGCTGGTGGCATGTCTGGGGTTTAATTAAATCACATCCTGGGTTCTGAAGTTTTCCAGCGCTGCACACAAATATGATTTCTTCCTTTTCTCTAAATGAAATATGTTCCACTATTTGAAATTTTGCCATAATCACTAAAGAGGTAGCAAATGAACAATATGAATATCAACCATTATACATCTTTCTCCCAATCACTGGCTGACTCACCAACAAGTGTGAATTCCTGTCCAGGTATGCAATTCAGAGTCACAAGCTTTGTGCAAACATGCACGTCCTTCCAAACTTTCCATGTTATCTCAAATGCGCTCAATGGAGTTATTTTTAACACAGTTAAGTGAAAAAAACTTGAAAAACAGAGTAACCATGAACGCTACCTTCATCTATTAGAACAAATACCTAGAATAAAAAGAATCAGATTATGACAAATGCTCTTAAATTCTGCAGGATTTAATTATTACATCAGTTACTATAGGTGCATATAAAGTATGCTCAAATAAAATAGCTTAATATAGTGTCTTTATTATCAAATGGAATTGTAGGGTAGGGAGTTGCTCTGGCTTCTGCTGGGCTCCTGTGAGTCTGTAGGCAGGTGTGAATCTCTACCTTGTATTTCTAAGGCTCATTCATGAAGTGAGAGGCTGTCCTCTTCTATCTTGAACCAATTTATGTCATTTTACTCTTTTGATATACATAGGCTAATCTTCTAGACTATGAAAAAGATGAGTTTATCAAATGTGAACGGTCTCAATTTAATTCCACTCTTTTTTACTATCCACATGTGAACCTTTGCTTTTTCACAGTTGGAAGAGAGATCTCCCACCCTGTTAGGTGTGACTCAGCTAACTGTGCTCCAGATCTGGCCCTGAGTCATGCAACACTAGAATTTTTTAACGTTAACTAATTTATCGGAGGTTTATTACATAAGGTAAACTGTACATATTTAAAGTGTACAAATTTAGGAATGGAATGAGTCATTGAAAAACCATGGGTATGTTCTGCATGGTTCTATGGAACCATGGTTCTATAGAATTTAAAAAGGTGTACAGTAAGTTTTGACTACTTCATTATGCAATTGGTAGGATGTAATCCCCCTAGCCTTCATTTTCTTCTGCAGGTAATGTGGAAGAATAAACATAACTTCAAGGGATGTGGTGAGGAAAGATGAAATGTGTGAAAATGCTTTGTTGGGTCTAAAGAATGTTAAGAGTAAGGGTTGTGTGTATGCAAATGTATGTGTACTTATGTACATTTTTCTTTCAAACACACTTACATATATGTGCATGCACAAGTTTCATAACCCTGATTATAACTCATTATAACCTATCTCTTGTGTTGAAAGAAACCTTGAGAGACCTTGGAGGGCAAAGAAAGGAAAAGAGTGAAAGTTTGCATTAACATGGAATTCAACAAATGTAGAAATTTAGACAAAAAAATTAGAGTAAAATGCGTGGTCTTTATTTTAACAATCAATGGCTTCTCCTACCCTGATGCCCAGGGGCCTCCAAGACAAAACCACATTTACATTTATGCAAGAAGAAATTCTCTGTACCAGCTAATAAGGCTGAACATCTCCAAATTGACTTTAGATTTTGTTTCAGCTACTTAAGTAGGCTTTCAACACAAAATGCCCTTACTCAAGGAAGGAGTTATCAAATAGAGCTGATAAACTTAATTTCCATTTCTTCCAACAACATTTTATTGGACAAATGTTTTTGTCACTTTCCTATTGCTGCTATTACTAATTACCACACTAAGGGTTTAAAAGAAACAAATTTCTACTCTTCTGGGTCTGGAGGTCAATGCCAAAAATGAGTTTCAAAGGGCTAAAATCAAAATATCTCTGCAGGACACAAGAGAGCTTGAATTCCTGCCCAGTTATGTGATTCCAGGTCACCATTTTTTTTTTTTTTCTGCACAAAAATGTGTGCCTTCCAACCTCTATTGGTTACCTGAAAAGGATCCTCAATGGAGTCACATTTTTAACAGCTATCCAAAATAAACTTAAATAACAGAATGATCATGAGTGAGTTGTTGCATAACAAGCCATCCTGAGAGCAAATGGCTTGGTAGAATGTCTTTAGAATCCAGTGGAATTGTATAGTGATGCATTGCTCTAATCTCTGTTGATCTCCTCAAGGGTCTTGAGTCAGGTGTGTGTCAGCTGGGGAGGCTCTGCTGATCTCACCAGGGCATTCTAATACAATTGGGGCTTGGCCAGCTAGCTGTGGCTGATCCAGGTGGCCTTGGCTTGGACAACGGGGCTCCGCTCCACATGTCCTCACTTCCTCTGGCAGCCCACCTGGTTTTATTCACTTTTTGGAGTCAGAGTTCCAAGAGATACCAGTAGAAATGCTCCAAGGCCTCTAAGGTCCCCTGTCACTTCTATCATGTTCTGCTGGCCACAGCAAATAAAAAATCCTAATCCATCCAGAACCAAAGGTGGAGGAATAGTCTCCACCACCTGATGGAAGGTACTGCACACACTGGCAAACACATGGCTACAGGAAAAGACTAGGATTTGGTGCCATCTTTGTAAACATCTACCACTGCTGTATTTTCAATCCAATTGGTTTATTTTCACTTACACATTCAGCAGTGCAAATATCTCAGAAATAATAGTGAAAATGCATTCTGTGTCTAACGAGCAGCTATGGAAAGAAAGTCTACTCCAGAGGGTCATGCTTTCCTCCAAATATAAATATTTCCTCACCCCCTCTTGCCGTTAGATCACCAATCCTAGTCTAAGAAAGATCAAAGAAATAATAGGTCTTCCTTCCAGATGCCTCAGAGATACCAGGGACCTTGTATCTAACTCATTGATTAATGAAGCTCAACTGTTGTATCACTGATGCTATCTTCATTATATCCTTCGGCAGACACTGTTTTCCTATTGGTTAACCTTCCCATTGACATACTCATAATGGTTTTCACCCTGGTATTGTTCTATTATTATTATTATTATTGTGAGGAGGAGGAGGAGGAGGAGGAGGAGAAGGAAGAGGAAGATTTCACTGGGAGGAGGTGACATTTGAAATGCAAATAGAAGACAGAGACATAAGAAATTTTTTCATTTTTCCAGCTTTATTAAAATTTAATTGACATATAAAAGTATGGAAATTTAAGCACACAACTTAGTGATTTCATATACATATACATTGTGAAATGATCACCTCAGTAGGTCAGTGAATACATTCATCACTTCACATTGTACCATTTCTTTTAGCTGTAAGAACATTTACTATGTATTCTGTCAGTAACATTCAAGTATACAACACAATAGAGCTAACCATAATGACCACATTGTACATTAACTCTGCAGAACTTATTCATCTTACAACAGAAGGTTTATAGGCTTTCACTAGCATCTTTTAATTTCCTAAAACCCCAGCCACTGGCATACATCAACTTACTCTCTGTTCTACGGTTCAGATTTCTATATTTCACATATAAGTGAGATCATACAATATTTGTCTTTCTCTGTCCAAAAATTTCACTTAGCATAATGCCCTCGGGGTCTATTTGTGTTTGAGAAAAGGAAAAGATGTCTTCCTTCTTTATTGCTGAATTCCACTGTATAGGTATGCCATGATTATTAATTCATCTGCTGATAGATACTAAGCTGTTTCCATGTCTTGAATATGGTGAATAATGTCACAGTGAATGGAAGAGTACAGACATCTGAGATGTTCGCAAATATGTGGGAATTAAGCCATGCGCTTGTGAATGGACAATGAGTGTAAACAGAAATCAAAAAGGAACTTTAAAGAATTAAATCAAGAGAAAATGGACACATAGCATATAAAACTTATGGGATGTTGCAAAAGCAACTCTAAGAGAGAAATAAATGGGCGCCTGGGTGGCTCAGTTGGTTAAGCGTCCGACTTTGGCTCAGGTCATGATCTTGTGGTTCATGGGTTTGAGCGCCGCATCAGGCTCTGTGCTGACAGCTAGCTCAGAGCTTGGAGCCTGCTTCAGATTCTGTGTCTCCCTCTCTCTGACCCTCCCCTGCTCATACTGCCTCTCTCTCTCTCTCTCTCTCTCTCTCTCTCTCAGAAATAAATAAAACATTAGAAAAATTTTTTAAAGAAAAAGAAAAAGGTCTTAATTAAATAATCTAACTTTATCATTCAAAGACCTAGGGAAAAA